GTAGGGTTATGCATACTTTCACAAAGCTAAATGCTTCAGTTTGTCAAACTCTCTTCAGATACCACAAGATGTAATAGTCACGTTGATTACCTTCGTCCATAAGATTATATCTCACAACAATAAGGTTTTCCGAAAAATACACTCCCACCATAAACCCAAGATAAACTTATTTTTTGATAGATCAAATAACACAAGTTTTTAATGAAGTTTACATGGACTCTATCTGCCTCTTACTGGCACAAACCATATTAACTGAAAATCTTAAAATATTTCAGCATATTTCCAGTTTGAGAGCTCTTACACATCCTACTTTAACATATAAAAAAGAACTTATTTAACATAGAAGTGAAATTAAATTTGGTAAAGCCTTTATTCGACTTGAATCCTGAAGAGATTATTCTCAGAGTTGTATTGCTAATAGAATACAACAAATTCACACAAATGTCACTACAGATATAATGAATGTTTTTTCATGCCAGTGTCACTCACCCTTGCCTGCCTGCACCCCCTCCCCCAGGCTTTTCAAAATGTATTTCATACACAGAGTCACTGTTCTGGTTGTTTATTTAATTAACATGACAGCCCAGCATACACAGCATTTCTTTCAGTTCTACAGTTTTAACTTTTTACACTTTAGACTCAATACAGAAAGAGTAAAATTACTGTTTGACTCCTTCCAACCTCTGTAAATTTATATAGATTCACTAACTATTTCTGTCAGTTGAAACAGTTTTTCATTATGCTTTAAATATCTGTATTCACAAAGTAAAATCACAATTTTGTCCCACACAAACAAAAAAATTCTCTCCCTCACCTTTCCCAAGGGATAAGAAAATCTTGTTTTTCCTTTTTAATATTTTCAGAAGCTGACATTAATTAATTTTAATTCTGTCAGCAGGTCATAAATAATCAATATTGTTCTTTGTATCACCATAAGCTGTTATAGTGCTGAAATATGATAGAGCTACAATTTAATTAACAACTCATGATTGTTTCTGAAATTTATTCCATTTGAGAAATCTGTTAGTATACAAAAATGTATTTAGGAATTTAAAGGGCAATATATTCTATATTTTCAGAAGAAATATTTTGTTTTTCATAGCTGTACTATAAACACTAAGTTATACTTTTTACCAAAGACATAACAAGGTTGACCATACACCTACCATCAAAAAACATATCTATTTCTCCTATTTTTGTTTTACTGTCTTTGTTGTTTGTGTTTTTGCTTGAAAATATTTTTAAGTCGGTGATGAAAAACTTAATTTTATCTTTGATAACCAACCACCAGACTCCATTATATTCCTACGAAAATCTACTTTTGCCAAAGATGTGCTGTAGGGA